CTGGCGGGCACAACTGTGCATGCAAGCTGCCAGCACCCCATAAGGTAACTGTAGAGGCAGATGGAAATCGAGGAGAGGCCCATTGTTTTTCAAGCTGCTGTGGAAGCTGGTGTTCCAGGTTATAGAGGCAAAATGTAGAGTACTGAAGTCTTTCTCATACAATCCTATAAATAGATGTCGACATGAGCACGAGAATTTGAATGAAAAATAATGCATATCGAGGAACAGTAACGGTCACAAGAAACAGGGAATGTGATTATGTTAAGATACACGATTCTACTTCATTATGCTGAATGTTATGTCAAAGGCAAAATATTTTTTTTGGTATGGAAGTACTAAAGTGAAGTTCTTCACAGAATTTTAATAAGTCATCATCTTCTGAAGAACAGCAAGCTATATGGTTTGAGTGTTAGTAATAAATGTCATTGTGCCCATGTGAAACAATTATAAACTCTGTGAGAAAGTGATACTGACTGTAGACATAACTGCATTCAGTATCTTCTGAAATTAAATGCAGAAGCTTTCAGTGGGGTCTGTGTTAGCCATGTTCAGAAAGTTATTTTTGTCAGGAGGAAGAAAGGGAAGAGCCTAAAATTTCTTGAGCAGGGATGCTTTTCTTCTCTCTGCAAAGAAGTAGTACTATTACTGAGAGTTCAGGTTGTTTGCTCCATGTACAGCCCACTGACATCTGTGAAGACAACTAGATAGGGCATGTTGGCATAAAAATTGTCGTGTTGTTATAGCCGTGTTGATTGTAGGACATAGGTGAAACAAATTTTGTAGATAGAGGTACCATTTTTCACTAGACCAACTGCTGTTACTGGGAAAAATGCATAGGCTTTTCAGCATACAAGTTGTTCCTCGGGTCTGAATTAGAAACAGAAACCTTTGAAGGTAAATATGAATTGAGAACTGTTTTCTTGAGTTAAATTAGATATGTGCCACTTCCCACCACCTGAGAGAAGGGGTAATTGATGCTCCTCTGCAATGTTAGAAGGCAGAAGAGGTCACACCTGCCGTATTTTCTCCTAGGCAAAGAGAGGTCATTTTTAGCATGTAGAATATGGACAGTTTAGATGAGGGGGATTATAAATTGCATAGAAACAACAGAAGCGTACTGGTGTTGGAGGGCCCTGTTTTGAACGGCTGCTGTTTGACATGGAAGCAAGTCAGTTGATCTGTAGTTCTGATACTGCCTGTGATATTTTCTGAACTGCCTCCGATACCTGGAAAAGCGATGTTGTATAGGAACATTCCAAAGTTAGTTTTAAGGGAGGGAAGGCGGTTCTTGAATTTATGGTGGAAAGCAAGAAGGAAGTACAGGTTTCCATGGTAAAAAAAAAAAAACACCTCATCTATAGATTTGATAGTACAATTAAAGAAAATCTTAAAAGCAGCTTATGAAAAAATTTGGCCTAGTTTGTGACCGTATTGGTGTCTTTACCTGTGTCCGTTATCGGGAAAAAGTATTAGCTATTGAAGGCAAAGTTATTTGGGTAAGGATGAAATAGATGAGCCTGTTGATACCTTTCAGCAGAAATCAGCAAGGAAAACATTCAGGATTGTAGGGACTCAGGACAGGCTTTTTTTGCTGTAGGATGTTGGCATATGGAGTAGTGGCAAGTCAGCTGGTCAGAACAGTGGTAACTGGGAAGTGCCTTTTATTGTATTTAGCTTATGGAAGAAGTTATTGTGCCTTGGAGAAGTCTTAGGGGAGGGACACGAGGACAGGAATGATGTTTTGAGGATGATTTTGAAGAGTCCTGCTAGCTCTTCAGTGGGTGTCCTACGAGTGTAATGAAGTTCTTTTTTTGCAGATCTGGAAGAGAATATAAAAAATTTGAATTAATAGTTTGGGGATTTTTTTTTTTTTCCTTCTTGGAGTTGGTGCAGTGATTTGATAGTGTCTTTGAGCTGCAAGACAAAAGAGGATGCAGAGTCTTCCTCGAGTTCCCTGTAAGAGGTAGAGTCAGTAAATCATCCGATAGCCTACTGTGTTGCTTAGCATTACTGTAGGTTTTTCCTTTGCTGATTTAATTATTTGGTGGTTGAATCTTAAGGAGTGCAGAGATCTTCCAGATCACGTTCTTGTCGTCGTCGTGCTCGTTGTTGCTTGTATCGCTGATTCTTCCCCTAAAGCAATCAGCAAAGTGCTCAAGAGCGGGGAGAGGGGCAAATTCGGTCTGCTACAGGACATCTAGTTGTTGATGTTCTGCTTGGAATTATCATAGGGGGGAGATCCTATTATGCCATGGTACTGGTTGCGGAAGATTCTTAAGATGGAGTTGGCTAAAACTTTCT